AGCTTTGCGTTAGCAAGCTCAATAACCACAAAAAAGAATTTATTTTAATTCTACATCACACACACACACACTTCACAATGGTATGTCCTTACACTTCTAAATTTTCTAATTACTTTCTTTTGCTTCCGTTGCTTTGCTTGCCTGCCAAGTTTTGATTGAGAACTACTCGCTGACTCACACTTTCTCGCTACAGTCTTCCGGTGAAGCAACCGTCATCTCCAACACGGAGAATGTGCGTTCATCTTCTCATTAATACCTTGCATAATCTTTCTTCAGCCGCTTTGCGGTTCTGAGGAAAATGCATACTGACTGGCTGGAAACAGCTCATGAAGTACATGTCCCTCGACCAGCGAGGTACCGTCCAGGCTGAGTACATCTGGATTGACGCTGTCGGTGGCTGCCGTAGCAAGACCAAGGTATGCACTTTTCTTTATTCCCTCGACTTCCTTTATTCACTGCACGCGTGTGGAGCCGGGCGTTGTCCTGGATTGAGACGAGGGACCCGTCGTTATCATGGCTCCCTCGAACACCGATAAGCCCTGCGCACGGTGACTCGATCCTGCACGCGCCGGCTGCACCCACCCGCCGCACGTGACATAGCGCGTCTCGGGCTAACCCATCATCGTGCTTTAGACTCTCTCCAAGCCTGTCACATCGGTCGATGAGCTCCCCGAATGGAACTTCGACGGTTCATCAACGGGTCAGGCCCCCGGTGACAACTCCGATGTCTACCTGCGCCCCGTCGCTATCTTCCCCGATCCCTTCCGCCGTGGTGACAACATCCTCGTCCTCTGTGAGACCTGGGACTCCGATGGAACCCCCAACAAGTACAACCACCGCCACGAGGCCAACCGTCTGATGGAGATCCACGCCAAGGAAGAATGGTGGTTCGGTCTGGAGCAAGAATACACCCTCCTCGGCACTGATGGCTGGCCTTACGGATGGCCCCGTGGTGGTTTCCCCGGTGCCCAGGGTCCTTACTACTGTGGTGTTGGTACCGGCAAGGTCTACTGCCGTGACATCGTCGAGGCTCACTACCGTGCTTGCTTGTACGCCGGTATCAAGATCTCCGGTATCAACGCTGAGGTCATGCCTTCCCAGTGGGAGTACCAGGTCGGTCCTTGCGACGGCATTGAGAGTGAGTTGACCCATACCCGTCGCTAACTTGAGCGTATCGATACTAACTATACCTACAGTGGGTGACCACCTGTGGATGTCCCGTTTCCTCCTCCACCGCGTCGCTGAAGAGTTTGGTGTCAAGATCTCCTTCGACCCCAAGCCCATCAAGGGTGACTGGAACGGAGCCGGTCTCCACACCAACGTCTCTTCCGCTTCGATGCGTGCTGAGGGTGGTATGAAGGTCATTGAGGCCGCCATGAAGAAGCTCGAGGCCCGCCATGTTGAGCACATTGCCGTCTATGGTGAGGGTAACGAGGAGCGTCTCACTGGTCGTCACGAGACCGGCAACATCGACAAGTTCAGCTATGGTGTTGCCGACCGTGGTGGCTCCATCCGTATTCCCCGCCAGGTCGCCAAGGATGGCAAGGGTTACTTCGAGGACCGTCGTCCCGCCAGTAACGCCTGCCCCTACCAGATCACCGGTATTATCGTTGAGACTGTAAGTTCTTCTGAATCTGGAGATATATGATTACGCAGATGACTGACTGTTTTTCAGCTCATGGGTGGCAACTAAATGCGTTACATACCGTTTAAAAATGTGAATACACTTCATATTAGCGCTCGTATACCCTCCGGCGTCGACAGGGAGGTGGACAATAGCGCAGCCTGGCACTCTCGGGAGCAGACATAGAATTTCTTTTTCATTCTTCAGCTGGTAGTTCGGGACTCTTCATTTACTCTCCGCCAGAGCTCGCCTTGCGTTCCTTACCCTCTGCTGGTTTTGCATTTCGTTTTCTTTCATTACTTGGGTCATGTGTTACGTTAAGCATAGAGGACTTCGGAGGAACCGACAGTCACTTGAAAATAAACTGGTGGAACGTGCTTCAGGCATGCACCGGAAGGATCAGAGAATAGATTAATAGCCGACTTATCACAGTAACATAGTGTGTCAATACAATCATTGCCCGACGGGCTGGACATGAGACTTCTCCCTCATCTAGACGACTCGCGGTATCGCTGCTGGCATCTAAAACAGGAAGAACTTTTTGACTGGCATTAAGTACATACATACAGTGATCATAATCGTTTATACTATAGATATATAGACCGCTCTCATCAAAGAGAGATGGATCCCCCAACCCGACCCCACCCTCCATGCACACAAACCCCATGCATTCCCCATCTCCTCACCGCGCCTTCTTCCAAAACTTAAACATCCCCTTCCCCAACCCATCCAACCCCCTCTGCCTCGCCTCCCTCCTCGCCGCCCCATCCACAATCTTATCCTGCTCCTGCTCCCCACCCTTCTTCCCATCAATCACCCTGACAAGAACCTGCATTAACACCGCCGCCAAAATACTCGCACACAAAATCCCCACCATGACCAGATTACTCTTCCGATACTTGGCCCTTCCCGGCGCCTCGTAATCGCTCTTCCACCCGGAATACAGCGCATATGTCGTCAATATACTTCCCAGGTTACCCCATCCGGAAACAACCGCTGACGCAGTGGCCACGCCTACCTCGCCGTGGCGGCCTTGGAACACCTCCGCGGTCCAGGTCATGGTGATGGGGACGGTGGGGCCCAGTCCGAAGCCGACGATTAGGAGGCCTCCGTAGCGGGGCCAGGAGTTGGTGTCGGTTCCGGCGTAGGTGGTTAGGAGGAGGCCGAGAATTTGGAGTAGGACTGGGATGGAGAAGAAGAGGGCGCGGTGGCGGTGGAAGCGGTCTGAGAAGGGGGTTACGAGGACGATGGCTATGAGGTCCATCTGTGGAATTTCAGGTGGGTTAGTGGTAAGAGGGGGAGCGGGGGATGATAGGGAGGGACGTACGATCCAGATCGGAGCGGAGAGAAGACTCAGGTCAATTCCGCTGAGGGAGGGGTTGATTGCTTCGATGATTACCGTGGCGTAGCTTTGGACGCCGATGCCTACACCCACGACGCCGAAGTACATGATCAGGAGGGGCCAGAGACGCCAGTCCATGAATACGCGGGCGAGGTCCATCCAGGTCCATTGCGCGCGGTGGTATACGCGCTTGAGATCATGGTAGTGGATTTCGGCGTCTCGGCCTGTGAGGGCTGGGGGACTGCGCGGGAACCACCAGAGGTATTTGCGGTGTGGGGGTTCGACGCCTGGGGCGAGGGGTCGGTCCGGTAGCCACCAGAGGAGGATGATGCCGACGGCGATAGTGATTACGCCGTAGACGAGGAACATCCATTGGAAGCCGACCAGGCCGCGCTCACCGTCCATTTCTTGGAATCCAGCTGATACCAGACCGACGACTGCGGCGGAGACTTGCGCTGCGGTGTAGTATTGGCCGATGCGCTTGCCGGTGCGCGATGGCGGGTAGAAGAGTGTCAGGTAGTAGGTCATGCCGGGCCACATGCCTGCGATGACGATTCCTAGAAGGAGACGGAGAAGGCTGTGGTTGTTAGCTGCTGTTGCGCGGGGAGACAGGTGGGTTGGGAACGAACTATAGACTCCATGCGGCTTTCATGGCGGCCATGCAACTGCCAATGACACCGACACTGATGACGATGCGACTCATCCACACGTGCGGACTCAGTCGGGTCATTATGAGGTTGGACGGCAGGTCGAATACGACGTAGCACACGTAGAACAGCGCCAGACCTGTAGAGATTTGGTGTGGAGTAGCGTTGAGGACGGAGCCGAGATCGTGACCGGCGTCGGTATTCATGGTTTGCGCAAGACTGACATTGGAGCGCACTGCTGCGCAAAGGAAGTAGAGGACCCAGAATGCGGGGATGATACGGAGGTCCAATTTTCTATTCAAGGTTAGGTGTGATCGCACCTAGGAAGGAGATGAGACGGACCTGTAGATGCGCTCGATTTCCTCAACATCGGGCTCGTTGTTCGGTTCCGCGTCGCCATCATGACTGCTCAATGATCGCTCTTGGATATCCTCTGCGCTCAGGTCCTTTCCCGGCTCGTGGGCCTGGGATGGCGCTTCCATCAGGGACATGATGGAGTGTCTGCTAGGAACTCTTGCGAAATAAAAAGAAATGTTAGTGCGAGATCCGGGGAGACACCGTCGACGCCACGGCTTGGGACTTACAAGGGTGAGCGAGACGGTCGTTCTTCTAAAAGCGAGAAAAATGGTAAGGAAACGGAGGGTATAAAGTGGCTGATAAGGATTGCTCAAGCAATGCAGCTGGGCACCCCGCACAGACGGAGCTTCGTGGCCAGTGGTGTCACGGTGGGAGAAATCGGAAATATACGATCAAGATGGCAGTGATCAGCCCTAGAAGAGATTGCATGCCTGGTTAGTTGGGTGGATGCTGCAAGCATTGAGTCAAGCGTTGAGGAAGAAAAAAAAGCGGGGAGAGCTCTGAGCATGTGCACGGATCGGAGGACCGACTTTATCTAGTAAGTCTGGATACTAAAAGAACTTACCTGAACTAAGACGGCCATGATGGAGATGCTGAAAAGGCAGAAATGAAAGGATTTCAGGTCAATCGCAGCTCACTCAGTGAAAAGAGGGGAAGAAGAGCTGAAAATGCAAGGGACAGTGGAATTGTACTTGGCTGGCTTTGTCCTGAGGCAATTGCCAAGCGATTGATAAAAAGAACCGCAAACCCAAAGCGGAGAGAGACATGAAGCGGACCAACGATGGCCCGAGAAGAGTCGATCCTCACGAGAACAGCGACGGTTTCGGCGGATAAACAATTGCCATGGAACGAATCCAGAGGATCCAGAGCAGCACCAAGAGGATTTGCCAGCCGACGGTCGGACGAATCCACTTTCGCGGTTGATGTGCTCAACAAGTTTTAGTTAATCAACAATCTCCTTCAGTCCGCAATGAGTCACTATTCTTCCCCAGATTGAGAAGTCAAATTATACCTACCACCAACTGAGTAAATTCAACGGTGTCGCTCAACACTAAAAGTTAAAAAAGCTTCAATCCGATGTCGGTGCTTTCCATTCGTCCGGCTAAGAGGCCTGCATCCTGCAGTGTCATTGAGGTTGCCGTTCGATCTGCAGCTTTCTGTTGCACCGGTCGGTGACTGAATCCATGGCCCGGTGAGCCAATCTTCTGGGCTTATCCATCGTTTCTTTCCTGATCTCTTTCAGTTGATAGAAGTCTAGACAGCGCTCTTCCACCATTTCTGACGTCTGGACCACGGTGAGACCGAGCAGACAGACTGGCACCGATAGGCTCCACCCAGTCATGGGCAGCAGATGAACGGGCCTGAAATGGGGAACCGTAATCCGACGACATTAGAAGTCGCGCACTTAAATTTCTATTCAGTCCTTTAAGCTTGGCTCCCCTCAAAATAGTGACCGGTCTGAATCCTTTTGTAACTCTGCATAAATCGAAGGGAGTTAGAAGGACTTGGCACAGTATCCTCTCCGTTTAGACAAGAACAGCTTATCTTCCTGGCGCAACTGCCCCTTCCCATGGATGCAGGGAACCATCACTAACCCAGCCAGCGAACCTGACGGATCCTGCACCTTGTTTGCGCCTGGAGTCAGGCCAGCTAACCATTAGCTCGTCAACAGCTCTGCTGTTGCTGTTAATCGTAGGGAAAGTATCACCGCCATTCCGAACATGCAAAATTGGATAGAGAGAAAGATGCGCCACCCGGTATCACTGCAGTTTCCCCTTATTCTCCAAACCAGGAGCTAGCAAGCACATATAAACAGCCTAGCAAACAAGGTTTGCACGACTGTCTGTACAACATGCTATGCTTATGTATGTCATCCGATGAAAGAAAATACTCGGTTATCGAAGCGACTTGTGTCACCTTGCTATCGAACGAGGGCCCATTCTCTTCCGCGTCCCTACTATTTATGGAATCATTAAAAGCTTCATCGTACAAGTTCATAGCGGACGAGTGATGACCTAGACACTATCATCAATATGTAGTATATTGAGCACTAGACAGAGTCAATCAGTATAGGCTCCTTCAGATTGAGAGCTATCGATAGTCCACGAACAAGAGAACTGCAAGATGCGTACAATAATAGATGTCCAAATAGCGAACCATGGTGAAATACAAATCACTCACCAAGTATCAGAACACTCCTTGTCCACTACCGCGAAACCAGATTGGAATCAGAATAGTGGGCGAAGGCTGGATTAGAGTCTATCAAACCGGGTAATGTGTTGGTATGAAGGCTGACTATGCTCTTGAGGAAGCTGCCGGAGCAGGTATCCATCACTTCTTAAGTTTGTCACCTGATTTGGTTTTATTCTTTTGCGATACTTGCTGTTGCCTCAGGCTGCGCAAGTAATTGCAAGCCCTCCTGTAGATGGGCTCAGTTCTAGTAGAGCAACATACGTTCTAGACCAGTTCATTACGGCAGCCTGGACCGCTCCATTATGATGCCAAAGATAAGCTCCTTTCTTGGGAGTGTCCACAATGACATCCATTTATCTTAGCTGCATGACCGTGCAGTATCGATGCATACCTCACGCAAGGGGCTACTCCTCATGAGCTATATTGGATGTAACATCTTACTGACCGGACTGGGCAATACTCATCGAGCAAGACTTAGTCTAAGTTAAGCATGAAGACAAAACTAGCATGTTTCTCGGTCTAAATACACGGAAACAGTCGGGGTATAAACAAAGCTCAGCAATTAGGGCCGCACGGCCCATGCTTGAATCACTAAATCATTATAGTCCTTGAAAGTTCGGACCAAGAAGAAAGCACAGTCGAGTATGCTTATGCCTTCACGCTGCTGGTGTTTTCGTCACTGTCCTTCTCCATATCCTTTGCCCGGTGGCTCAGCACACTCGCGCGACGGACAGCATCGTCTTCCACGTCATCGAGAGTACGCAGGAGCTCACCATGCTTGCCGTACATGTGAGGCTCCTCGTTGGCAACCTTGACAACGTTGAAGACACTGGTTGTTTTGCGGAAAATGCGGTCCATTTCCTCCAGGGATCGACGGGCCGTCTCCGGGTAGAAGAAGAGCACCACTGGGAAGATAAAGGCGTTGCTGTTCAAAGGTTAGAACTGATGATGACAGCAAAAGGGGAGTAAAGGAGATAAAGAGGAACTTACATAACCGCAAAGATGATATAGGTCTGGTAACCAATGTTGTCAAAAGCCACAGGCGTGATCATGACCACCAGGAAGTTGAAGATCCAATTCGATGACGTCGCCAGCGCGTTGGCCGGAGCACGAATCCGCAGCGGCACGACTTCAGCCGGATACAGCCAGGTCATACCCAGCCAGCCAATGGCGAAGAACGTGTTGAATACGAATAAGAAGACGATGCAAGCGATATTGGCTCCGTTGCTACCGATGCTAGCAGTGACGGCAAGGATGACCATAGATATCGACATTCCCGCGGCGCCAAAAAGCATCAGTGTCCGGCGTCCAAATTGCTCAATGGTGAACACGGCAATCCATGAAGCGAGGAAGTATTCCGTTCCGTTGCAGGCTGAGATCAAGCGGGAGTTTTCGAGTGTCATACCCAACTGGTTCTCCAGCACAACGGGGATGTAGTATGTAATCAGGTTAATACCCGAAATCTGTTGGAACATTTGGTTGACGTAGGCTAAGACCACACGGTGGAAGTGGCGGTCCTCGGTCATAGTGAACATGTCACGGAACGAACCCTTGGCCATCTCCAAGACTGTGGCCTTGATGGCTGTGAATTCCGTCTCAATGAAAGTCTCGTCAGCGTCCCCCAAAAGTGACCGCAGGACAGTCCTTGCTTCATCCTCGCGGCCCTTAAGGATCAGCCAACGGGGCGACTCGGGAAGGGGCAAAACGAAAACCAGGATAATGAGGGCGAAGAAAATCTGGAAGGCCAGCGGGAATCGCCATGCCACCTCATTCGGATCGGCGAATAGCAGACCGAAATCAATCCAGTAACTGATGGTGATACCGCAGGTAATCATGGCACCTTCGATCATGACTAGCATTCCGCGATGGTTGGATTTACAGCACTCTGACTGCCAGGTGGGCACGGTAGAGGTGTTCATGCCGTTTCCTATCGACCAACGGTATTAGTATCGCTGCGTTGCAGAACTCACAAGTTGGATATTCTTGGACTCGTTGCACCTACCGAAACCAGTAACCAAGCGTCCAACGATGAATTGCCCGAGTTGGTAGGAGGTACACTGCAGCAAAGCTCCGATACACATAATAAACGAACCAACGAAGATCGTCTTGCGTCGACCGAGCATATTACCAATCCAAATTGTGGGAATTGATCCAGCAAAGCAACCTAAGTTGTACGCAGCGACGACGACACCTTGACAAAAACAAAGATCAGCCCGCGGGCTAAACTAATGATTGGAGCATATCACCGAAGATGGTGCACTTACCTTGGCGAGTCGACTGGGTACTTTGTTGCGCGCGAGTCAAGCTCTCATAGTATTCACCGTTGGTCGCGATAGTTGGGAAATACTTTATGAACGAGTCGAGGGTCAAGAGACCGCCAGTGACACCTTGATCGTAACCGAACAGCAAGAAATCCATACCAGCGATGACACTGATAGCGATTTGCAGCTTGCCTCCTGTGAGGCCCAAGTATGACCGCGCCATCTTGGAAAGACGGACTTTCGCACTCTCTATGGAAGAATTAAGCCCAAGTTACTGTATTCGGTTGAGACAGGAACTGCGTAGTTGAAAGTAATTGAAAGAAGCCAACACCGCACAACACGAGTGATCAGTAGTCAGGGAGGCAGAGTCATTGGCTGGAAGGAGTATGTATGCGCTGGCGGAAGGAAAGTGAAATGGAAGGGAAGAGATTGAGAAAAGAAAAGAGATCAACCAGCAGGTTGCACGAGGGGAAGCGGACGGGGGGTTTTAAATAGAGCTGGAGCCTCAAGAGACTCGACTTGTCGCAACGGTAGGTTTCTTCTAATGACCGATTGGGTGGTGGAGAGCTTGAAATGTAAGTAATAATATTACCATTCGGGAGAAGTCAGGCCAGTCGAGAGCATCCGTGCAAATTACTAGCTAGGTTCAGTGAGGGATAACTACTACTAGTGGTTAGTAGTAGGAGGGACGTTGGTACTCCGTCACTAGTACAACCACCCAGAGTACACAAGTACCATGCGATTTGACTTTTTGGAAAGTAGAGAAATCCACTGGATGAGACAAACGAAAAGATGGGATTGGCTCAGGATGACCTGGAGGGACTGCAATCGATCAGGAAGCTGCTTCTCGAATCCTGCAGCTGATTGGCCTGAGCCACAGAAGCCTGGAGGGGAAGTTATCCCCACAGCTGCCACTCTCCGGATCCAGAGACTGATATTATTTCTCTACAGACACAGTACAGTTTTCTGCGTCCGAGAGCACTTGCTAAAAGAGGTCCCTCCCCGGACCCATTGCTCAGGAAGTTCCATTGGCTCTTACGACCAACGGAGGAATGACCGTTCCCCACCTGGCCTCCCCCAGGCACACACCATCTCACACCATTTTGGAGACCAGTTCAGATGAAATGACGAGTGGTGGGTGGGTTGCCCGACTCCTTCTTACTCCACCTCCACGATGAGCGGGCGTCGCGATCAGCGGGGGGCTGAATTGGGGGCCGCGTCTGCTCAGACGAGTACTAGATTTAAAACTAGTAGTACATGGGTAGGTATCAGTATGCTACTTAGGCCTAGTGGTGGTGGGAGTAAGCAACTTTCCACCCAACGGTCGGAGGCTTCCTTCGATGCCGTCATGGGAGTCGGGATGCGCAGGGGACTAGCCGTTTCTGGAGAAACCGAGCACGGCGGTCGCTTCATCGTGGAGTGTTTCAACCCGCGGTTGGACCAGCTCGGATGTGAGTCAACCGAGATTGATATACTGTTTTGTACTTGGCAAGTCATATTTCTGGTTATTGTCCACTGTTGGGAGCTTGAGATTAATCCTACAGTGATTTTCGTGTAATTTGCTTTTCTTTGAAGCGTAGATTAACATTACATTGTCCGTTCTGTATGCGGGTGGATTGCGGACGGCAGGCAGGAATATGAGCCTCCGGGGCGGCTAACTGCGATCTGGGCGTTGCAGTCATCGTCATCGGCCAGTTCGCGTGGCTTCTCGCGTGGGCAAAATCAAGGAAAATGGAAAGGATCGTAGGCAGAGGGCACTGAATCTAATCGTCATATTTCTTTGCTCATTTGACGGAATAGCTAATTGCGAAGTATGCTACCGTGTCATGGCTGTCGTGTGTCGTCCGGTCCCCGTGGACCCTTTCCGTCGATGGAGGGAAGATAGAGAGATCCGGGCTGATTATTCAGAATCCGGGGTTTTTGGAGACTCCGCACAAAGGGACCGACCGCTTTACCGCTTCCAGTAAGGACATTCCCCGGCTCTATCCGCCTCGTGGGCGTTTGCTATCGCGTCCTCCTTGCTTGAGTGCTTCAAGTATTGTGGTGTGGCACAGCTGGGCTAGCGACATTGTACTCAGGTCAAGCACATTATTATCAACTGATGGTATGCAGAGTTCCATTAGCTCTCTTGTATTCTTTTCTTGGCCAATATAGGTATTTGCTCTCTACAGTAAGGCATCTTCTC